AACTACTACTAGTAGTATTACTGTTACTACTACTACTATTACTGCATTACTGCAACTACTATAGTACTACTACTACTACTGCTGCTGCTACTACTACTTCTGCTACTTCTGCTACTACTACTACTACTGCTACTACTACTACTACTACTACTTCTCCTATTACTACAACTACTACTACTACTGCTGCTGCTGCTGCTACTACTACTTCTACTACTACTTGCACTTCTGCTACTACTACTGCTGTTGCTGCTCCTGCTATGACTACTCTTACTACTAGTATTACTACTATTACTGTTACTACTACTACTATTACTGCATTACTGCAACTACTATACTACTGCTACTACTACTGTTGCTTCTGCTGCTACTGCTGCTGCTGCTACTACTGCTACTACTACTACTACTACTACTACTGCTACTACTGCTACTACTGCTACTACTACTTCTCCTACTACTACAACAACAACAACTACTGCTGCTGCTGCTGCTGCTGCTACTGCTACTACTACTACTACTACTGCTACTACTACTACTTCTACTACTACTGCTGCTGCTACTACTACTAATACTGCTGCTGCTGCTACTACTATTATTAATACTGCTACTGCTGCTGCTGCTGCTGCTACTACTACTTCTACTACTACTACTGCTTTTGCTGCTACTACTGTTACTACTTCTACTACTACTACTACTACTACTGCTACTACTACTTCTACTACTACTTGTACTTCTGCTACTGCTACTACTATGACTACTCTTACTACTAGTATTACTGCTATTACTGTTACTACTACTACTATTACTGCATACTGCAACTACTATACTACTGCTACTACTACTGTTGCTTCTGCTGCTACTGCTGCTGCTGCTACTACTGCTACTACTACTACTACTACTACTACTACTGCTGCTACTACTGCTACTACTACTTCTCCTACTACTACAACAACTACTGCTGCTGCTGCTGCTGCTACTGCTACTACTACTACTACTACTACTGCTACTACTACTACTTCTACTACTACTGCTGCTACTACTACTACTAATACTGCTGCTGCTACTACTATTATTACTACTGCTACTGCTGCTGCTGCTGCTACTACTACTTCTACTACTACTACTACTGCTTTTGCTGCTACTACTGTTACTACTTCTACCACTACTACTACTGCTACTACTACTTCTACTACTACTTGTACTTCTGCTACTACTACTGCTGTTGCTGCTCCTGCTATGACTACTCTTACTACTAGTATTACTGCTATTACTGTTACTACTACTACTATTACTGCATTACTGCAACTACTATACTACTGCTACTACTACTGTTGCTTCTGCTGCTACTGCTGCTGCTACTACTGCTACTACTACTACTACTACTACTACTGCTACTACTACTACTTCTACTACTACTGCTGCTGCTACTATTTCTCCTACTACTACAACAACTACTGCTGCTGCTGCTGCTGCTACTGCTACTACTACTACTACTACTACTACTGCTACTACTACTACTTCTACTACTACTGCTGCTGCTACTACTACTAATACTGCTGCTGCTGCTGCTACTACTATTATTACTACTGCTACTGCTGCTGCTGCTGCTGCTACTACTACTTCTACTACTACTACTACTACTGCTTTTGTTGCTACTACTGTTACTACTTCTACCACTACTACTACTGCTACTACTACTTCTACTACTACTTGTACTTCTGCTACTACTACTGCTGTTGCTGCTCCTGCTATGACTACTCTTACTACTAGTATTACTGCTATTACTGTTACTACTACTACTATTGCTGCTTTACTGCAACTACTATACTACTGCTACTACTACTGTTGCTTCTGCTGCTACTGCTGCTGCTACTACTGCTACTACTACTACTACTACTACTACTACTACTACTACTACTACTACTACTGCTAATACTGCTGCTACTACTGCTACTACTACTACTACTACTGCTTTTGCTGCTACTACTGTTACTATTTCTACCACTACTACTACTGCTACTACTACTTCTACTACTACTTGTACTTCTGCTACTACTACTGCTGTTGCTGCTCCTGCTATGACTACTCTTACTACTAGTATTACTGCTATTACTGTTACTACTACTACTATTACTGCATTACTGCAACTACTATACTACTGCTATTACTACTGTTGCTTCTGCTGCTACTGCTGCTGCTACTACTGTTACTATTACTACTACCACTACTACTACTGTCAGTGCTCCTACTGCTACACTGCTTCTGCTACTATTACTTCTACTACTACTGCTACTACTAATAGTACTACTGCTACTTGGCTTCTAATATAAAAAAACAATATCCACTAATCCAATCAGACAAAAAAAAAAAAAACAGTCAAAAGGAAACCATTTTATTAATACAGTTGGATCTGTATTTTCAAACGTGTCACTATTATGTTAGAATCATGAATATCCAGTAGCCTCTTCATTCTTTTGCATTTCTTTCTTAATCCTCACATACACAACTACTTTCAAAAATGAATCTAAATAGTTATTTTATATGGTGCAAAACGCAAAATTGTAATGGACAAAGAAATCAATCTCGCCTTTGACATTCAGTAAATAAATTAGCACACCATAATATCTGAATAATAATTAAAAACATAAGATTTGAAGGCCACAAAACCTAATTACAAATGTATTCACTTTCATAACAAATAAAAGTTTTAAAATAGGTGAAACAACAGCTAGAGGTGGAACAGTTAGTAGATGACATTACGTTCATTTAAGATATTTGTAACTTCTTAATGGTAGTATTAATTGTGGTAGCTTCCATGTAGCAGATTAACAGCTATGGATGTAGTGTAGTAGTAGAAATATTATCTTTTACAGCACAATGGAAAATATAGTAGTGAATCCTAATAGTGTTATTAAATTAAAGGTGCACTGTGTAACTTTTCTGGTAGGGGGTCCATCACTAACTTGTTTCCATGGAGTTCTTAAAAATACTATGAAAAACATACATTCCTAAAGTGAGAGACCTTACTTCTCCACAGATCTTACATGTAACTTGGCCTGGAGTTACTGTGGGCTTGTTTCCATGGAAATAGATAAATGCAAAACTGTGGGACATTTTAGACAAAGCAGTACAATTCCCATGAAAACAAGCAACTGGCAGACCCTCCACCAGAAAGTTACACCTTTAATATACATTTCACAGATCATAAACCTTTAAACTGAAATCATTTTAAAATAAATAGAAAAAATAAAAATGTATACCTATTTCTTATTTACTTTTATCTGGGAATATTTTGAATTTAATTACTTGAGAGATATTTTCAATCAGTTGCATTGAATGGAGAATTTAAGGATTGCTTAAACCTCTGACAGAAAGAATGACTAAAAACTACCACTCAGAAATCACTGTATCCTGCTGGTGACTGCCTCTATATTAATACATTTAAACTATATTCAGTGTGCTAATAAAAGCCTGTTCTCTACCCTGTCCTCATTCATGTGTGACAATTCATAAAACAAATTCAAATAAATATAATAACACTTATTTCAACTATTTTCACATTCGGTAAAAACACAGAACAGCAAAAGATTCAATGCATTTAACACAACGAGAGGAATGAAACTGAGATGTGTCCCAAAGGTATATGGATATGATCACTGGAAACCACTTTATAACACCTTCATTTGCCTTACTAAAGCATGAACAAAGACTTCATTCATAATGAGTAAATCGTTTATTAAGAATGATTCAGACTTTGTAACTACTAATTAAAGGATTAGGGGTCAGGAGTATTAATTAAGAAGTTACTAAGCCTGAATTATGCTTAATAAACTATTTGTTCAATAGGAATTAACTCTTAGTGTGTGTCTAAGTGTCATTATTATAAAGTGTTAGTTGAGATAGTTATGGCTGTATCGTGAACATGTTTAAAAAGCTCTTGTTCATTACAGGAAATAAAGCTATAGGCATGGGATTAGTTATTCTTGATACTCAGTGGTAGTAAACTGCTTCTATAGTCACAGATGCCCTGCACCAACACCAAACCATCAATTACTCACTCACACATTATATTTTGGGTGCATTCACAGTTGCATAATCACCACATTAAAACTGGGAATAACAAACCTGGACTAGATCAGGACTAAAACAGGATCAAACATAGTCTGCATCAGGAATGAACTTGGCTCAAACCAGGAGTAAGTGTCACGCACCCTTATACAGAGGCAAGGTCAATGAAGTATGTTACCTAAGGACACAACAACGGTATGCATTAGTTGGAGCTGGAGCTGGAAATGTACTAGCATGTCTTTAATTACTATCTGGTCCACTGTCTCAAAAAACATTTTTAAAAAAAAAGGTCACCCATCGGGAGACAATACCAACATTCAGTTATATTACTGATGTTTGAAATCAAAATATGAAGGGTAACTTAACACCTAAACACATATTTTTGTTGATAAACTGTATACAGCAGTCTTTAATAGTAACATCACTGCATCTATCAATCTATCTATCAATAAATAAGGAAATTCTATGTTTTTGGTTTGAATTCCATTAGAGACATTGCTCTTATTGTATCCTTAGGCAAGACACTTCTTCGCCTACATTGCCTACATGAATACTTGTATAATTGATGGACTATCCTGTTATATGCAACATTTGGTTTAAAATAGTTCATCGCTATGGCAACAGTCCTAATTTTCTTTTATTCTGAAACCCAGAGACAGCAGCAGACCACCATAGAGTAAGTAGTTAATGCTATGTAAACTGCATTGTATTAACATGACCCCATGCCTATGTGATGGTTTCACATATAAATACATTGACAATCTCATTCTCTCTGGACAGATCTGACAGACTACATTGACTATTACACTAAGGACACACATGGACACACTGAACTGGTGTCTGGTGATTGCTTATCGTTTTTGTGAGTCTAAAAGTGGAGAAGTTATTTACAGTTTTTCTCAATAGTTTTAGCTTTAAATGTATTTGTGTGTTACAGTAGTTTATTTGACCACTAAGAGGCAGTATAGCGCCATAAGCAATATGGTATCTTAGGTTTTGTGTTCATTGGAGAGTTTCTTTATAATCTAGTTTGGGACATTTGGATTAAAATGGGATTTATTAGTCACCATTCATTCCTTTCCTTCTTTATTTATTTATTAATTAATAATATTGCTTAAATTGTGATATGCCTAATGATATTAAAACAGGGATTACACCTACTCTATTTTGCTAATCTGATTTCTTGCATGATTTGATAGAAAATTACATGTACTATTTTGGTATTTTGGCCATCACCTAACTGTTTTCTGCCCTACTGAGAAAAACTGTAAACTGATCTCAAAACTAGTATTAACCCTAAATACATTTCCCCATAGAGTAACTTGTTCATACCCCGCCCTCACCTCTGTATTATTCCCACTCATTAAAACAAAGACATTAGTTCTTCAGTAGCTCTTCCTCTTTCTTCTTATTTCTTATTCTTGAGCTGGTTGGCAAGCCAGTCCAGCCCCTCATACAGCCCATCTCCACTGGTGGCACACGTGGCCTGGATGTACCAGTTACGATGGCGCAGAGAGTGCAGCCCCAACTTATCTGTGATCTCTGCTGCGTTCATGGCATTTGGTAAATCCTGGGGGGGGGAAAAAGAAATTAATTAATAACAATAAAGAAAAGGTAAGAATATGAGTTAATCTTTTTGGGACTGTTTAAAAAAATGCACTGGATTTATATAGTGCATTTCCTAGCCATCCTCAGGGCTTTACAGTGCATTATTCATTTACTCCACAGTTTATTATTGTAGTAACACCACATTCATTCTGGGCAATGTGGATGAAGAGTCTTGCCTAAGGACACAACAACAGTTTGCACTAAACTAGATCCCCCCTGCAGCACTGTGACACCTGGTATTCCCAATAGTCTCCCACCTGAATACTAACGGCCCAACCCTGCACCTGACACCATATTATGAAATATTCCAGGCAAAGCAATAGCATCTCCATTGACAAGCAGGACTATCCACCAGAAAAGTCCACCTTTAAATACCATAACATTTGACTTAAATTACAGACATCAAGCTGTATGGTCAGTGTATCTGTGATGTTCCTCTGGCCTGACCTGCTTGTTGGCAAACACGAGCAGGACAGCGTCTCTGAGTTCATCTTCAGCCAACATCCTCATGAGTTCCTCCCTTGCCTCATTCACCCGCTCACGGTCGTTACTGTCCACCACGAAAATCAGACCTGTGCCATGGACAACAACACAGAGGAAAAACTTCTTTAGGAATCAATAATGTGCCTCAAAATTAGAGTAGTTAGTGAAGGAGGAGAAAGCTAAAAGAGTGGAAGTAGTAAAGGCAGTACTACTTCAAAGTATATTCAAGTCAAAATAACATACATTGGATATTAAATATTCAAGTAATTAAAACAAAAATCAAGTATTTTTGTTGGAGATAATATTTGAGAGTCAGATACCAGTACAAATCCACCATCGTTCAAATCTGTTTCTATGATTTAGTCTAGGCTAGGACTTTATTAAACAATCAGTAATTAATTAGCCTAACAAATAGTGTTAAGTTATCAAAATGAAAGTAATTGTGATGAAAAAATTACATAATAAAAGTTAACTAAACTAACCTAAATTCTCCCCTGAAGCAGGTGTATGTGTTTGAGTGACTGAGCAGGTACCTTGTGTGTTTTGAAAGTAATGTCTCCACAGGGGCCTGATTTTGTCCTGTCCACCCACGTCCCACACTGTGAAGCTGATGTTCTTGTACTCCACTGTCTCCACATTAAAACCTGTACAGCAACAACAGAAAGGAAACACTGAATACAACAGAGAGGATACAGATTTGTATACAATAGAGATGCACTATTGATACTTGGCAGTGACATGCTGGGTGAGGACTGCATGTATGTTTATGAAAGAATGTTCAAGAGTTTCCATGGCGACACAATTCACACATTATCAAACACTGTCAAATCATTTTTAAGATCATCTGAAAGTCAAGAATAGATTTTTTTTAGGAGCCTGTGATCAATATGAGCATTCCCAGTCCTGTAGGTGTTTGATTTTCAACAGAAAAAGGTGAGAGTGACTTACTGGAAAGACTGCTGGCTAATGCGGTGTGATCAATTGTGTTGAAACAAAGCTCAGATTAATCTTGAGTAACAGAGCTTCAGACAAAGTGGTGCCTCCAGTTAGCTTTAGAAAATATTGATGATATCAGCTGCAACATCTCAGTATAACATTTCTGGTGGAGAATCCATCGCCAGCCTCCATGGAGATGCTGATGCTTTGACTTATATGCTACACATTATGACATTAAACATATTTATCTCCATGAGGATTTTAAGAAAAAATAACGATATAGCAATGATATTATGGGGATCCTATTATTTAGACATATTATGCTTTTTTCTGCTATATAGTTGTAATCTGTAATAACTGTGTTTTATATTTTGGACATTTGAAATCACAATACTGATCTAAAACTACAACTAACAAACATTAGTCCATTGCATTACATAATAATACATTTCAATGGCCTCACCAATAGTGGGGATTGTGGTCACTATTTCTCCCAGTTTGAGTTTGTAAAGGATGGTTGTTTTTCCGGCTGCGTCGAGTCCCACCATCAGGATCCGCATCTCCTTTTTCCCAATGAGGCTCTTCAACAAGTTCCCAAAAATGTTCCCCATGATTCAACAGCTATTGTAATTTAAAGGGAAGAAAACCTGAAAGAAAAAAACAGCAAATTAAGTGAAAAATATTATTTGAAAATTATTACAAATTCAAATTCTCACATACACGCCACACAAAGTTTATATACATTTTCTTAAATTCCTGAATTTAGAAGAAGAATGAAGAAAGTCTTATCTTGTATTTGAATTGACAGACAACTAAATACATAACTGATGTGTTATTGCCTTTCGGAGGTAATACATTGGATTTATAGCACCTTTCATGACACCTAAAGCTCTTTACAGTGCATTATTCATATACTCACAACACTCACCTACATCACATTTATACTAGGCAAGGTGGGTGAAGTCTTCCTGAAGATGTGAGACAGGCCTCTAATTTGGCAATGTTTAAATCCAATATTAACTAAGCCCTGCCATCTTTAGCTTCTGATATCTGACAAATTCAAACAATGACAATTAGATGCATATGGCCACAGGTAAACTAAAAACTAAAAGTGACCTACTTCTGAGTAGACACTTCTAAGTGTCTTAGGACATTTCTGTACTATTGGTCAGTGAGTAAGAATGACAATATAAAATGTAATGTTGTGAAAAGACACAAACACTTTACTTTTTTGGGTATACTGAAAAGAAAGTACTTATTTTTGCTTCTAAAATTCTCATTATTATTATTTAGTTATCCAATGTATTGTGACCTAAGTAATCACATTTATCAATTAAGAAAATAATCTTGACATTCCTTTGCTTCATTCCTCTGCATTTCATAGACTCAGACCAGAGACAGGTGGAGCTCATGCGTTTGCCTGAAGCTACAGAAAAACCACAAACCAGAGCCATGACCAGAGGCTGCAGTCAATCTGTTACAACCTTCAAATGGTTCCACTACAAAGCCAAGCCCTGAGAGAAAGAGAGCACGCTGCCCCATATAAGGAGAATTTACAGCAAGAACCCCTCCAATAGCTGTCCATTCATCAGTTTTGTGCACTTTATACCAGAACATAATTTTTGATGATGCAGGGTATAATACCAAATAATGTAGTCACGATACGAATGCAATATATTTTATATTACTATGTGGCCTTATATCTGTGTAATCTCTCAACTGTCCAGGTAGGTTCCATGGTGGTCCATGGGTGTATACTAGTCTATGTGGTCTGTACTTCTGATAAAGCTCAAGGTAAATTTTTTCCCTGTGAATTTGGCTTTTTAATATCGATACTTGCTCATATGAGTATCTATTTTCAAGATTACTTTTAGTATTGATCGTAGTATGATAATAGTTGATAGTATCTGATCTGGACTATGCAAATTAAAAAGTTCTTCAGTCAAAATTTAATGAGTAACTTTCCTTTACTGTCTTTTTAGGAGAATTTGGTAATGTCATAATTTTAGATGGAGGGCAGGGGTCTGTGTAAGTGTATGGGGGATTCAAAGTTCTTGTAAGACTTATCTAAACATATGATCCACAAAAAATGAACGTTATCATTATTTGTTTGGGATTGACTCTGCAAACTTGTTAGATTAATCTCATGCCTTAAAGTCCTCGCAACAGAGAACAATCACGCCTTTAGTGTTACATAATAGCATCACTTTCTGAAGCTATTGTGCAAAAATTTTTTCAGTTTTGTTTATTTATAATGATAGAGAAGACAGTGAACTTTGAGCCATTTTTGTTTTGTGAGAATAAGCCCAATAATTAGAGGTATTAACCATACACCATGTCAACAAATTTGCAATATGAAAGTTAATGACAGCTAATTCCACCATAGGATTCTGACCTGTCCTACTGCTCAATTTCATAGCCTAGGGATTTTTATGTAATGTACAGGCAACTATAAAACATCCCATTTCTTCAAAATCTTTCTTTTAATTCAATCAAAACCACACTATCAGGATCCTATACAACTTTGAACATAGACAGACTCATTTGTACTAGTAACGATGACCAATAGCTCTATGATGTCAAACTTACTGAGCCTATTGAAGACATGGCTCCATACATCTGAATAACATAAAACACTCCAATATGTTAAAAAGGTGATTTTACCAGCTAGCCCACACTTAGACTTGCTAAACAGGTCACAAGAAAAATAAACACGAGGTTAGGCAAGTACAAGGGATCAGATCAGAAGACAGAAAATTCTGATTCTTACATAAAATTAACTAGGAGTCCATAATGAATCGCAGAGCACTTTGTAGCTCACGCCCCTGCTCTGGGTCACGGGTGATTGCTTTCTCTGTCCGTGGTGCTGAAAGACGTACCTACGTAGAATTAATCGCTGATAACGGATACCTTCAACTCGTTTAAGGCTCAAATGTCTACCTTTTAAAATACAAATCACACAGGTATCTTGTGACTATGTAAAGCTATGTTACAATACTGTAAGCAACATGGGTTATATAGTAATTATTAGGTTTTAGACAAATATGGACACGTTTGCGATCAAATTTCTTAATAAATATAGGGTATAGAAAGCCTAAAATAATACAATACATTTCCATACTGTTTTCTTTTATTTTTTATGACGGTAGCTAGCGTCCATCCCCGGTTCATAGCTCATTCATTCAACCTCTTGCCAGCACCCTATCTCAAAATTGTACTTCCAACAAAAATCACATGTTTCTATCGCTAAAAACGAGAGCAAATGTTTAAACTGCAATACTAAAGTCGCATCAAAAGAGTCTATGTGTATGTTTTAAGTGCTATTAGCGGTGCCGTGTCATCACTTACCGTGAAGCAGAGCGGCAGTCGCCACAAAGTCTCACGATATCTTCAAGGAGAAAAAACACATCGGATACAGGGAGTGGGTAAAATTCTCGCGAGATTAGGCAACACTCCGTCTGACCATTGATATTCACTGTGTGGTCATTACTACAAGGGTATTTATAAGGTTTATACGAAAACAGGCCAGGACAAAGGAATAATGTGACAATGGCTTCCTTGAAAATAGCCCATTAGATCATGTTTTATCAAATAGATAAGCCTACATTTTGCCATTCTAATAAGCAATTCATTTAAAATAGCCTAGCCATAGAAAAGCATATGCAGGCTATTTGATAAGACTTGACAGATTTCGACACCGGCCTACAATTCTGTGAAATGCAGGCCTATTTAAATCTGTAGGTATATAGTGTGAATAGTTTGATGGTGGATCATGTGGGTAAAGCTGTATGTCTTGTTTGTCCAGATGAGTCACTCCCTTCACTGTTTTCTCTTTTTCATAATAATAACACTGGGCATGAAAACATGAGAGAGGTTCATGTAACAAGCAGCAAGCCCCTTCTGGCTCAGCTTAGGTTTAACCTGGCTTTAGGAAAGGTCCAGGTTACATTATGGATGTGGATAGAAGTCTAATGTGGTCAGACAAGTGGCTTTGCAACATGATAAATACCATACTTTTTTCTATATGGCCAGGCTATGGCTAGTTTATCCTATTTGTGTGTGACATTAAAGCAAAGCCATGTTTTATTACGCGTACTATATGAAAAGCTGAGTAGTCTACGTTGACATGATCTATCCCCACAAGATGCTGAGCATGAGTGCAGGGTTAGGGGCCGCAGCAGAGCGTGAACAGCGCCATCTAGCGTGCGATCAGCGCTACTTCCGCTTCCCACGGCGGCTTCCCGGGATGCTGGCGGAATGTTTGAGGCGGGCTCATTGGAGACCCAGGTGTTGGGACAACGTCCACGAGCAGCAAGACCTTATCTGTCAGTTTGAACACATCAGCGTTAGCTGGAGCACAGCCATCTGACGCAGGGAGCAGCGGTCTGCAGCTCGGCTCTTTTCTACGCTGAAGCGGAAGGTTCTGCGCGTAAACACGGTCTCCATGAACTTCAGTACAATGAGGTGCAGTGGGCTGCTGCTGCTCGCGGCTCTCACCTGTGGATTGGCTCTGGCCGAGGACGCGGCGGAGGAGCTGCTGGTAGAGACTTTGGTGAGTCCGGAGCATGTGTGTGTTACAGTGCAACTACACCGTGATAGAGCTTTATCACTCCATAGTCAATGCTGATCACACACGGGGCCACTGCTAACCACAAACTTTGTGTCCGCAGGTGAAGCCGGAGACTTGTGATGTCCTTTCTGTGATGGGAGACACGCTACAGATCCACTACACGGTGAGAATAATGCAGTTATTGTAGTCTTTGTCTTTAAACAACCGTGAAACCAGCGCTGCCCAGACGAGACCGACCCGGCTCATTCTGGTGACGGAGGCAGATGTTGCTTCGTGGCGCTGTGTGAATCACAGCTGCCGCTGATCTGCGGCTGTCATTGATCGAGTATTACAGGGACTGTGGCTGTCTGCGGGTTTGAATACCTCTTGATTGCGCATTGCACAGACTGTGGTTTTAGGTCCGTTGCATTGGTTCATTCCCCTCGCTTCGTCTGGGATAGTCGCCCCGGCTTTCACTCTGGGGGCGGTGCAACACGTCAGCAGTAACTCGGTGTGTGGGGCACCGGCTCGAGCTACAGAACCTCCGCCTCACATGTGGATCTCCACAAAGTTCAAAGAGTAGACAGTTGGCTATACTTCAAGTTACGGTCTAAAGTTGGACTGCAACATGTTTATAGTGCACTACGTCAATACACTATGCAGAATGTTGCGAGTGATTGTCCTAAATCATTTGTTTACTTACTTCCATATGGAGTCACAAAAGGACTTGAGTTTATCCTAGCAAGTATGGGCCTGAAGAGGGGTGCCAGGGCTGAACCATTCACTCACAATGGAGCAATAATTACACAAGAATGATGCTCTAATTGCAATTTTTCTGACAAGTATTGCAGTTCTGATTAGATCTGCAACTGTTCATTTGAAAGATGACTAAACTCATAAGATTAGTTATGCAGGATCTTTGAATGAAGTGCACGTCTTCCCTGTGTCCCCTAACTGGTGACTCATATGTCCCACAGATAATGAATGAAAGCGAGTGGTAGATCTCTGTGCTTAATACAACCTAAAAACATGCAAAATGTACTGTAGTCACTAAACTTAGATGTGGAAATAGGTCCCTGGGTGCTGCACTGCAGTCACCCACTGTCCCTGACAGGGTTCCACAACGACATTGAACGATGAGTCAAATGCAGAAAACAAATTAACTTACAGTGAAAAATTAAGTCTACCTCAGTACAGGGCTGGCAATATGACAAAAATATCTTTCATATGGATCAATACAATTGTATTTTGTCCAATTAGAAACAAATAATAATGGCTTTTAAAATGAAATATTTCTGAACATAAACAACAGACTTGATCCTAATTTAACACTATAGTCAAAATTATTCCTTTAAAGTCTTAACTCCAAACCACATGCTTTTACAGACATAGGACTGGCTGTAGACCTCTGTAGACCCAAGCTGAATATTGATAATTATAATGACTGAATCTTGATTCAGATTTGAATAAGCACACTGCCCTATTTAAATGTTAAAGCCCAACTACAAAAAGCTAAATAATATGAAATTAATCAAATACTTCTTTTTACCAGTACACAATCAACAACTATATTTGTTACATTTTTCAGGGTAAACTGATGGACGGAAAGGTGATTGACACTTCTCTGTCTCGGGACCCTCTCGTTGTGGAGCTTGGGAAAAGGACAGTGATCACAGGTAAATCCAATTCAGGGTCATTAGTCCTGTCACAGTGAACAGATATCAGTGGAGCAGTTTTTACCAGGATGTCAGCGGACCTGTTTCTTTTATTAAGTTGCTTTATATCAATATAATGATTTAAAGTATCCAAAATATAAAATAGTCTGCATGGATCGTATTATACATACATAGCAGACAAAAGCGTAATATGTCTTCTTTAACAATATTATTAACATTGTTTTACGACACTGTAACCCCATGATGTTACAACTGCTGTTGTTATTTTAAATAACAATAGCAGTACAAACTGTATGTTTTTATAATAGGTCATGTATGGTAAAGGTCCTATATTACATTATTTTCTGGTGTATGTTATTATAATGGTGTTTCCTTATCGCAAACATACCTGGGGTTGAGTCCTTCTCTCAAACTGAAAGCACTCTGTTCTATCTTGTACTCCACTGTTTTTAAACTCCATATACCTTTGCCAAAATCGTTTGGATGATTTCAGCCCTTTAACTGCAAATCTCTACTGAACTAAAAGTAAAAGATAGCTTTTAACTTAACTACCGCTTCATGGCATGATAAATTGGAACAGAGCATTTTGAGTAATATAACTAATAATAAAGAGTGACTCAAACATGTGTAAATGAAACAAAACACAACTCTAGGTATGTTTTTTATGAGACTCACAAGAGTCAAATTTGTGTAATATAAGACATTTAAAGACAGTAGATAAAACTACAAAACAACTGTAAATATCAAGACCAAATCAAAGTCCTTAAAAATTATAAAATTATATATTAGTTATTGTGAGAGTCCTCTGGGGTCATTTGAGGTTGGAGTAACACAGAGTAGTTGGGTTGATTCGGTCACAGAAGCAGACAACATCAGTGCTTTGTGAAAGAGAAAACCCTGATTGAATTTCTTTGTGCTACACTTATCAGGTCTGGAGCAGAGCTTGGTCGGTGTCTGTGCTGGGTGAGTGCAGAATACAAATCTAAAGGCTAGAGTTACATTAGCTTTTGTTGAATGTGTCTAATCATTGTTTTTTTCTTTTATTAGGCAGAAGATTAAAGCCACTATTCCAGCTCATCTTGCATACGGCAAAAAGGGCTACCCACCAACAATACCGGGTAAAACACACATAAAACAGATTTAAAAAAATCACACACACATCACACATAAACATTTTAAAAATAATTTTATATTATGTTGCACATTTGCACTGTGCATTGTAAAGTTTGTGTGATTGATTGACTGAACAATAGGATGATCAATAATGGCCTGGTGCAAAAGGCCGACAATTGCAAAGTCAGTGCTCAGTTGAAGGGGCCATAGTTCATAGACTTTATTGTCCCTGTAGTAAAGTTTGTCTTCTGCATTTGATCCCACATTTAATACCTGTGGAGCAGCATGTCAGGAGAAGTAGGTGAAAGATGTGCTGCACCCAGGGACCATCTCCTATATCTTGAGTGACAGGTTCGGACCTTCTAAGTGAGAAGGTTAGCCCGTAGAGGTGGGAAGTACTTGTAAGTCCAAAGTCCTATGTTAGTTTTAAGTCCTTTCAAGTCTGTTACTGAATTCCTTTTTTAAAAAAGGCAGTCAAAAGTAGAATGGGGAAGGACTTGTTCCAGTAAACTTGAGCACTAAAAGTAAATCTAATGATCAGCTGGGAGTGTTTCTAAACTCATTAATTTAGTCAGTGACCTTCAAGTTCAACTCAAGTTCAAGTTTATTTGTAATACGCATAAAGTACAAGGAACCAAAAGTGATGAAAAAGTTTGCCAAGACACACTCTGCTGAATTAAAAAAAATCACTGTTCCAAGTCATTTACCTTTTTTAAGAAGTTAATGTCTCAAAACAGTGACTCAAGTCTAACTTAAATCTAAGTCTATACATTCAAGTCCACACCTCTGGGCTGTTTTGCATGAATTACATAGTTGTTATCATGTTAGTAAGCCAGATCAGTAGGGTGCAGTGTGATCAAAAGTGCTTTACATGCACAGCTGTATAAAAGAGGTGGCTGACATTTCCGAAGTGAATAGTGTGGTTAATCTTGCTTTTTGTATGAAGACACTGTTTTCTTCTTTGTATGTAGTTATTGCGAAATGTGAGTGCATTTTGGGTCAGATCTATGGTCAGATTATAGTTACAGAGATACCAAACAGTTATGAGAGCTCACGCCATGCCTCCTTTAGTCAATTAATTGATACATAGGCAAGTTTTTTTATCATCCAAAAATGTCTTTAGTCAACTACAGACCTAATAATCAGTATGGTTGATCTTAGACAAAATTGATTCTTGTAAGCTTTAAGGCATGTTGTAATGTTCTTACTTCCTCAAAAACATATGCCAGGTATGGTTGAGGAAACAGTATTACAACAGGTTAGAAAATAGCTTAATATAGCTCCTTTTTAAAGTTTGTGTTGAATGAATTGAGTGCATACCTTTCTCTCTGTGTCCTGTAGGTGACGCTGCACTCGAATTTGAGGTGGAGGTGATTTCGGTTTCGCAGCAGACTCCATGGCAGAAGATGGTGAACGATGTTTTTCCAGTTGTGTGTTTGGCTCTGGTCCCAACGCTGCTCGGGCTGGTGGGACTCTACCTGTACAAAAAGGCAAATGCACAGAAACAAGGCAAGAAGAAGGCAAAGGACAAGAAGAGCAAAAAGAAATAAACTCGAAAGTAATATTTAAATAAAGTTTTTTAATGTAGCCTTTGTCTTTGTCTTTGTAGTAGTGTTGTCAACATACCAACATTTCAGGAATAGACTCGGTATTCAAGTCAATACCGATTCCAATACCACAATGAATATAAAAAACACCCTTTGTTTAGACAGTAAGATGTGATTTTCAACATTAAATCGTACTTCCTTTTATATTGTCATGTGGTCTTATATCTGTGTTAGGTTCCACAGTGGTCCATGGACGTATACGAGTCTATGTGGTCTTATACTTGTTCTGATACAGCTTTAGATCATTCTAAAGCTATTCAGGAAAAGTTCATTTCTATCAGGTAAATGTGACAGTATCAGTACCTGCTCAAATGAGTATCTAGTTTCAGTACAAGTTTTAATACTGATTAGAATCTGATTTTTAACAACCCTATTGTGTGGTTTCTGATATTGCTTTTGTGGAAAATATGTTTTAGACCTAGACAAATGATATAATGGAGAGGCAAACTGAATCAGAATTTTAAATAGACCAATGCTTAATCTTCATGTCAAACGTATCCTAAATTAAAATAACCAAGAGACAAGAAGGACACTGCTCTTATGATCAATTATTCAGCAATGGTAAATATTTAAAATTTTAAATGCTAGCTGTTTGTCCCAAGATATAGCCCTACTTTTTGTGTTGCATGTGTTGTGTTACAATTGTTTTACATGAGTCAGACTTAGTTAAGGCCTTTTGGTCAAATCTGAAATGGCTGTAGCTGTAATACGCAATAGATAAACACAGAAGGATTAGGACGAGTAATGGGTCAATTGAGAAACTACACCCTTACATTACCAGTATCGCAATCTTTTCAACAACCAATAAAGTCTAATATTTTGATTACAAGGACAGGATACAATAAAATACCATGCAAAAATATTATATTGAAAAATCATGTAGTCTATTGTAAGTCTACCACACAAGGGAAGTCATGTCTTAGAAATTACTAAGAAAAGGTTCCTTTATTGTCCCATAATTTAGGACGTAATGTGTTGCAACAGCAAAATACAATAAATAAAAAAATAAGAATAAAAAAATTGAGCAATTAAAAACAGATGTCATTACATTTATTAATTTAATTTAGTAATTAAGTTTAATACCGTACTGCGGAATATTGCAGGTAAAGCAATAACATCTTCATGGAAACGGGCAGGTGGCATCGTCTAGGAGAAAAGTTACAAATATACAGCGCACCATAATTACATTATTGTTATATTATTGTGCAGTGTGTAACTTTTCTCCAGGTCACAAACCTGCTAATTAATTTATAAACTAATTTAAAACATTATCATGCAATAAAGAAGTATATTAAAACCCATTCTTTTAGACTTTTATTATGGTGAAAATGATGAGGGCGGAGGAGCGGATACGGGTACTTCTTGCAGCCCAACCTCTTCCGGTCCTCTTTCCAGCTTCCCGTGCAACATGGTGAGTGCGCCTAGAAAGGCCGAGCCGCTAAAATACTGAAATATCATGCAAAAACTACAAATCCAACACACATTTGCCCATTTTCAGTGATGTAAAGATATGAACAAACATATGAGATTTAAATTACCGGTGAAATGACACACAGGTGTTGTGTATTTGTCCGTGGCCTGATGCTAGCTATTAGCATGGCTAGGAGTTTGGCTGCATGTGTTCAGGAGTGCGGCCGGCCGATAATGAGCTTGAAGCGCCGTGTAGATCTATTACTTTCGTATCCTACTTGTACTATTGTTAATTTAAATTCAGGCTACTGTCAAGAGCTCGGTGTTAGTTGAGTTAAGGTAGCAATTACACATGAAAAAGCGTGTAAATAAGCCTGACAAAGGTACTGGAACTATATAAAATAATTGTCGCATCCTTGTCCTCTAATGTTTGACAAAATTTATCATCTAAAATTTGCTTGATTAAGCTTATATGGCACGATATAATGCTTGGCTTCGGGAAATTTGGTAACGAAATTTGCTCTGCTGTGTCATCTCATAATTTGATATTGTATAAAATTACAACCCAGAAGTCAGTGGTTTTCAAGACTAGGATGTGATGACAAACTCTCAGATGGGGGCAAAAGCCAGATTTCCTCGCATTGATTACTTTGTAGTTTACTATTAAATATTTAAGGGGTAAATTCACAAATGTCCAACCTGATAACTGGTTGCTGTATTGCAACAAAAAACTAAGTTTTGGGATATGCCAGAGAGTATTAAATATTACTGGCCTATAGAATATTGTGATGCCATCTGAAACCTAGCAATTATAATCAACCAACTTACTTGCTACTTAACTAGCATTTATTTCTACTGAAGTCATATGTACTAACCTAATAAAGGAATCTTACAGGGCATTGAAATATATTCTTAAATTTCTCTCCTCAGACCAAGAAAAGGAGGAATAACGGTCGTGCTAAGAAGGGCCGTGGGCACGTGCAGCCAATCCGCTGCACTAACTGCGCCCGCTGTGTGCCCAAAGACAAGGCCATCAAGAAGTTTGTGATCAGGAACATCGTGGAGGCGGCTGCTGTGAGGGACATCACTGAGGCCAGCGTCTTCGAGTGTGAGTATTTGATGTAGTTAATTTTAAGTCCTTTTGTTTGCTTTTTTAATGCAAGTTTAATCGAACAGTACATGGCTATTCGCATCATTGGTGTCAAATATTGTCCTAGTCTGTAAAGTAAGCAACACTAACAAAATACTAAATTGGTCAGGCACTGTTGTAACTAGGATTTGTATATAATTTCTGCTCTCCCATTGTAGCCTATGGCCTGCCCAAGCTGTATGTGAAGCTGCACTACTGTGTCAGCTGCGCCATCCACAGTAAAGTGGTGAGGAACCGCTCATGTGAGGCCCGCAAAGACAGGACCCCTCCACCCAGGTTCAGGCCTGCGGTGAGTAATGGCTTTTATTCACTTGTATTTTAGGCAGACTGACACGAGTATTAATAATTTTACAATTTTCTTGCAGGCTGGTGCAGCAAGAGCTCCTCCGAAACCAATGTAAAGCAGAATTTGATGTAGACCTGAATAAAATCTTTTTGAAAACATTTCATTGTTGTTGTACTGTTAATAGAAGATCACTGTATTTGTCTAGGCCTGTCATAAAAAATTTTGAAGTGTGATGAAGTAAATGTACATGTTAAACAGTAATATCAAAACCAAACCATAAAGCAGAATTATCCTCAAAAAGAAGTCTGATCAAACCTTTTCAAAGCCTGATGTCAGATCTCAGAAGCTAAGTAGGGCCAGTCCTTGTTAATATTTGAATGAGAGATGGCTGGGAAACTCGGGTGCCACAGTAGGGCACCTGAGTTTCCCAGTGGTGTGTTTGGGGAGTCAGCGCCAACTGGCAGCCTACCATCTTCAAGTGAAGTTAATAATGCACCAAATTGTAAACCAACTTTGACTGTGTAAAAAAGCGCTATATGGCTAACAATGCATTATTATTGTAATGCTACAATATTGTTAAACATGAGCTGCAATAAATGGCAGAATGTAACACCTGAGTAATTTTGGTTCATAATTCAACTTTCTACAGCTCAAATATTTTATTGAACCAAAATTGTCCCAGTATATTGTCCCTAGTATAAAGAAAAAGTACCCATTTTTATATAGAATGATAAATTGATAAATTATGACATGTCTATGTTTGTCTAGTATATGTTGGGTTCAACTGTTCAGCCCAAGAGTTTTGTTTCATATGAGCAACGTCATAGCTGTCAGCTAGTCTAAACTAATTCACCACAAAAATATGGCCATGCTGTAACCATACTGCATGATCTGATTCATTCAGAATGAGTAATTGGGGCTGCTCTCAAAGCTTTAAACAATTTAAAACCTCTTCTGAATTGTGAAAGTCCTCAAAGTATAACAGACTGCTGGAAAGTCAAATACGGATAAATAAATTTCACACAAGTAAATGTTAAATTACATTTATTCTCAAATAGCAAAATTAATCTGGCAATTATTTACAACAGCCATAACGTTTTCAAAATACATTTGCGCTGCAGTAGCATTTACACTTAAAGAAAACTTAAATTTTATGCCACTTGAAATTCAGTGGCTACCCTTTGGCTCAGAATAAAATTACTCAAATTGTAACTAAAGGAAGTTGGATATGTGCAAATGGACTATTTCATGTTTATAGAGAAAGGCAAAATTGAGACTGTGATGAAAACTCTAGTAAAAATTGCAGGGATTGTTTGTATCGGAGTAGCTATTTTAAGGTACAGATAGGTCTATAGGTGGGAGCCAGAGTCTGGATTCAGAGTCAGAGCAAATAAGATTACAACCCTTGAGTTATGGTTTAGTATAATTTAAGATTTATGTTAAACCAAATATGCAAATAATTTCCAAATGTTAGTTGTTTTCAATATATCTGAGATCTATAAACTGGCTTGGGGCAACAAACCAGTTTTAGCAGGTTGTACAGTAAGTGATTTTGCAGTAGTAGTTTTACAGTCATTTAAAATGTTGAATGATTAGTGCCAATTTGAAATCAATGTATTTAAAGCCTCTGGATAATGTTTTAATTACCATACCACTCAAAAGTCACTTTGCAAGTTGGCACCATACCATAACCATGTAATAATTTTAATATAGTGGAAAAATACAAATTAGGTTACTTAAATATCTTAATTGTAGGGAAATAAGTGTAGTAGTGATTGCTACTGAATTTTAGTGTACTTCTAGAGAAAATCACAATTAAAAAGATCCAGGTGGGTGGCAGTGAAATTCAAACTAAGAAAACATGTACAAGTTTTAAACTTATTTAAGAGAGAATTGCAAATCAGATATTCTACAAAACATTTTAATAATTTCATATTAATTTTCTGGCAGGTTATCAGTGCAACAAAAGCATTTATAGTAAACAACAATATTTTTGCTAAAACACAGCATTCTCACACATAAAGGCCTTAAAATCTGTACTTCAAATGAATCACAATAAAGCAACATTTAGAAATTCAGTTGGTTAAAAGTGCATTTTCAGTGGATCGCTTCACCAACACTACCGCCTTTAAGTTTGGTCTGCACTACAGTTCATTAAATAAAGCTTTTCAATATTTGTGCACAAAAATGTGTTAAATACTTCACAGAATTGAGGAAAAGGTGCTTTCAGAACAAGGCATTAAGACTTCTAAAGATTCTGTTACAGGGAAATGGGAATTCATGATTTTATGGTTTAGTAAAGTGCAAAGAGTTATGGATTATGGAACAGTCAAAGGTAGGTTAAAACTAGTTAATCAGGTACAAGGTTTGTAGTTTTTGAGCAAGGCACATTGAGGAAAGAGCAAGAAGAAGTGCAATAACTCTTCATCTAACTACCGCAATGATTTAAAGTGCTATAACTATAAATTATAAGTTCATTCAAGCATTAAATATAAAAGTTTTTTAGGCTAAGGGTACCCGGACACACTGGCCAAATTATTAGGTACAATTTGGGAATACCTTTACATCCTGATATCTAGTAGTCTGTAAAATAAGTAGGGATGACTCAGTATTTTTAGTTCAATAATATACACTATATAACTACTTCTGACATGACATTAACTGGTCTGCATAGAAACTGCATAACAAATTTCAACCCATAACCACTACCCATATCTACTGATTATAGAGGAGGGACCAAAAAGAGACAATATTCAATTCAATGCCTTTCTAGTGTTAAGTTACTTCATTTGAAAGCATTAAAACATGTGTACCTAACAAACTGGCCAGTGCATAACAATAAATAGTGCATGCCATTCACTTTTATCTGTGCAAACCAAACTTAGGCAGGTTTCGGCTCCATTTTAATTCTATAATAGTCACATAAAATCTTTCTCCACTTCAACTGTCGACAATGTGTTCCCCTCGGACGATGTGAGAAGAAAACTCGTATCGGTCTTGACTCCGGTGCCCGCAAATGTTGCATTCGAAAGGCTGCCTGAAACCGTGGCAACCCATGTGGATGGTGAACATAACGTGATCTAGGAAGAGCAGACGGCAATGGTCACAACGGAAAGACTTTATGGCTCTTCCTTCGCCATCCACAACCCGGAAAGTTTCCCTGGAAGTGGAGGAGGGAGTTGTGGGCGAGCTAGAAGTCGGGACATGGGTAGAGGCTTGAGCAATATGTCCAATATCTTCTTTATCTTCCTCTTTGGTGCGGATAAGCTTGACAGGATTCGACACTTGGTTGTGATTAAAATGGACGAGATGATGGAGGTTGTGGTTCTGTGCCGTCGGGGCAGTGCTGTTGCATGGTTCGTCCGGCATGCTTTCGGTATCTGTGGAGTCCAGGCAACCGTTGCTAGGCGATGGGGCGTGGCTTCGAGCGGCAGGTAGATCCTCGTGACCCTCTCCCGCCTCACGACCCGTTTCAATAACAGTTCCCAGCCCGGTGCAGTCTAGTCTGGGTCCCAGAGCTAAAGGAGCAGTGCTGTGGATCGGTCTGACCTCAGTGAGTTGTTGATTGGTGGGTAAATAGAACGGCCGTCCTGTGCCTCCTTTATACTCTCCTTTCACACCTGTGAAGTGTGGGGCTTCAAGGTCCACAGTGTGTATCTCACCTTCTTTGCTGAAACCAGCGCTGAGCTCATAAGGTGTGTCTGTGAAGTTGAGGCGAATCTGCTTCTGTCCTGTAAAAACAATGAAGTTATCATAATTTTAGATATATACATTTCCTTCCCTTACTAAAATGTTCAGTATGGAACATGGAAATTAATATTTATATTAGTGCTGTCAGGCAATAAAAAAAATTGAGAGATTAATTAATTATGATCTGTAATTAATTAATCTAATTAATCTCTTTTTAATCTCACCTAAAAATTGCTGAGAAAAGCCTTCAATTTGAGGTATTTTCATTTAAATTCATTATTACATTATTACTATAACATATAAACCATGAACACTCTAGAGCCACATCAGCTCGTTTGAAATTATAATGTGTTTAATGCTAATTTGCGCAAGTCTCACAGAAACGAAATTTAAAAACCGCATGGCTAATTTGCATAAACTAAGCGAGAAAAAAAAAAAAAAGCTCTTGTGTGCGGTTCAGCTTCTGTGGGACTGAAGGACACGACTCAGTGGAATATGAGTGTTCTTTCTGTGACAGTGTTGAAGGTGAAGGTGAGTCTGTTCTGTGTTTGTGTCGTGATGTTTTCAGAGATCAGACGTGTGCAGGTTTATCGCAGATGCGGCGAGAACGAGAAAGAAAATCACAATTGTTTGCAGGAGCGATGTGTTATTGTCCCAACAACACATAAAAACAGATTTTATAATAAGGCAACTCGCGTACAGTAACAGTAAAGTTAGAGATTAAAAATGAGATTAACGCGATTAAAAAACATAACGCGCTAAATATGATTGTAATTAATTAATCGCAATTAACGCGATAATTTGACACCCCTAATATATATATGGATTTCTAGTGTGTGACTGACTTCATAATAAGCCAGTCTGATTTGTAAAATTTGATTGTAATAGGAATTTATGTAGATATAGATTCAAAATAAATCAGAAATATAGAATTTACATTTTACACAACAAATACTACTTTGGCAATACAGTAAACGTCCTAAAAGTTATAATAAAATGGCTTGAGCAGTGTTTCTAAATAAGTCATTAGGCCACATCAGTTTAATACACCTTCTGCTTCAATTAATTTAATAAATAATACATTTAAATAAAAATTCTCACCTAAGAACTTTTGTGGTGTGGATCTTTTGCGCTTGGTGATGCTGTTGGCGAGACGATCAATGAAAGCCATTTTCTCTGAGGACGGTTGCAACAAAGAGTCTGGAATAATCTCCAACTCCTTAACATCCTCACCTGTATCAAAAGAACATAGAGATAATTTTAGTATTAGCAACCTTATGTTGAATACTCATAATATCCAGTGTTGACCTTCGCATTGAATCACACCTTGGTTCAGAGCCTTGGTTTGCTGCTGTGGGTCCACACTCTGTAAGTAGCTGTGGCAGCGTTCATGATGCTCCTCCAGTGCACTCTGCTGTTTGTAACTACGTCCACAATAACTGCATTTGTATGGCTTCCCAACAGAAGGGGATGACACTGGAAGAAGTGTAAATACAGCGGATAAATGCAGTCGTTATATGTGTACTACTTTTTCATAGGAGAGGTAAAGGTTATATGGCAATGTTAAATCAAATTATTATGTGACCTTATAAATGGATCTGCCAGGCTGAAGAAATAATATTTAGACAATTGCAGTTAAGTGTGACCTCTCAGAAGACAATAAAATTGGTGTGAACTTGAAATATAAAAAGGTACTAATGAACAAATCTTTTGTCTTTATTTTTTATTGCATATTTCTATTCTCCTGCTGTTTTTGCACTTTGTATTGCAACACTGAAATTTCCACACTGTGGGACAAATAAAGGTTCTCTTTTCTTATCATGAATCAGGTTACAAACAAAACTGTGGCTTTTTAGCCACATTAGACAGCCCCTATTAATATATGTTTATGTTTTCCAACCTGCATGAGTTCTTAAGTGTCCAGTGAGTGCATCGCGTCTCCGACAGGCGTAACTGCAGAAAGGACATTTAAAAGGCTTTTCACCAGAGTGAAGCTTGATATGACGCAGAAGATTGCCCTTTTGGGTAAACGAGGCCCCGCATTGATTACACTGGAAAGGCCGCTCACCTGTAATACAAGAAAATCAATGGTTACATTTAGGCACAGTCCCTAATAGAGATAATATCTTACGCCTTAGAGATTAATAATTAATTACTGACCCGTATGACTGCGTTTATGCACCATAAGGACATTAGGCCCGATACAAATCATGCCACAAATATCACACTTGAGTTTTCCGTTGGGCAGGCGAATGGCTTCGGACGGTACAGTATCAGTGTTGGGGAGTTCTCTGTAAATTCCAATAGCTTCAGCACCTGGTTCTACGATCCCCTCCTCGATTCTCTCTCCTCTCTCATCCTCTGTAAAGCGGCCCTGCTCTTCATCACTGTACAATTCCACCTTAATTGAGTTTGCTAAAAAGTCAGAGCAAATGTGAGCATAAATGTAACCTCTTAACAGTAGGTCAGGTAAACAAAGTAATGTAAGATAATGATAGCAAATTACATTTAACACTGTGGGAGCGAGAAGGAGATGTTTCTTTGCTGTTGGGTGTGCTTACAGTTGGACCTCCAAGGGCCTCAGAAAAATCTCTTTCAATTGAAGAATCTCCACCTGGTGAAAGTAAGAATTTAGACACATTTCAGACATGATTCATTTTCATTTATTTAAGTCAACCAACCTGATGTAAAAGATTGTCCATTGCAGCCATCAGTGTCCATACTAGGTAGATTACTATAAGGAAACAATATGAATCAATCAAATCAATTAATCAATCAGACTTGACTGTCAAATGCACCCAAATGCAATCTAATCTTATTACTTAAAATTTGGTGATAGAATATACTCATGTTATAAAAATCAGTCATGTAGATAGTGATAAAAGTTTGAGGATAATATCCAAATTAGCAACCATTCAAACATCAGGCAGACATTATGATTGTGTCACAAATTAAAATCCTGACATTTATACCAGATTAAAACAATCTGTAGAATACAGGGGTGGTAATGTCACTGCCACTGAAATACACAAGAAGCTGATGTTGCCAAACTAAGTTTGGCCTTGGCAGCTAACACTGGCCTACTGCGTTTAAAGAGAAAACATTTTGCTAGCCAAGTTAGCACTAAACAAGTCAACTAATTTCTCAGTTTAGCTTCTTGAAACATAAACAACACACTAAATAAAGTTACATTTTTGCTATATTCCGGTTCATCAAAACGACCATTACAATAAAACGGGATTATAAGATGTAGAAAGACAAAAACAACAACGATATTTAAATCGACATCTTGTTAAACGCTAGCATAACAGACCACAGCCACGGCCACGGTTGCTATGGCAGCCACCCGAATGCTAACTGGCTAATTGCTAACAGTAGAATGTGGGTTTGTCTCACGATAAATGGTCTTTCGTTCACTGGTCACCAGTGACATCGGCACATTTACCTTTTATTTAAAGAGATGAGATGTTCACATGGGTGTATTATCTTCGTTTAGCCTCGGCCGCCTTTTTAGAAGAGACTTTTCCAAAATTTCATCTGTCAGTTTTTGACGACAACATTTCCCAGGAGTTTCCGCTAGTTTCCCGATTACTTCAAAGCATTTCCGGTAGAAAATAAAATGTTATTTTATGGACACAAGTTATCAGGAATATTATATAGTATTATTGTGGTAAAATAAAACCACAAGTCTAACACTTATTCTATGCATTCTAAATATTGTAACATACACAAATATAACAATATATTTTCTATTTGAAGGTCACACTAAATCTTTTCAAAATATCTCAATATCTGAATTCACAGCGGTGATGTTGTTTCTGCATTTTAAACAGCATTTTCAAGAGAGAAATCTGTCTATCTTTATACGTACAGTATATATGTTTCATCAGATATTATTCCAGTGCTTTGTTCAAAGCACTATAACAGCTTGTCTGTTGTGTTTTTGTGTAGATTTTTTTCTTTTCAGGTTTTCAAGATAATTGATGATATTTATATTGTTTTAGTTTTAAGTGCAGACTGTACATGCCATCAGCTTCAACGGGGATATCGTCTGACGTGTGGCATGTTTTTTTTTTTTTTCTTTTCTTTTTACGACGGTGTGCTGTTGCTTGCACAATGACCGTTTCCGTCACTTTGACTTGCGATTCGTAAGCGCGGAGTACACGCTTTTTGTTATCGACTTTTTGCAGAACATCATCAATATATCTTTCCAAACTATTGATTGATATAGACATATATAGTAAATACAGGCAGATGTGGATTTCGGGGTGAAGTACAAGGTGTACTTGTAGAGGTTAAACTCAGAAGTTTCACTCGAGGCCCAGCGCTCCGAAAAGTTTGTTGTTGTCACGTGACTCAACACGAATGTGGCGATAAAAGTTACAGATTGTAGAGCTACGTTCCGCATTACTTTTTATTATCAAACTCCTTCGTTGTTTTTTCATCGCAATGCCTCAGCCCAAGTATAGAAAAATCGCTGTGATAGGATACAGGTCTGTAGGTGAGTAACGGGGGTGCACAGCTAACAGGAGAGCTAAGAGTTAGCATGCTAACGATATGTCTTTGTTTTCCTCTTGATTGAATCCGATTGATAGTTAAACGCTATCCTACTTCACTTCTCTCATATATCTGTACAATATATCCGTTTAATTGGCTTATTTGGCCATGCTCATGCTGTTTGCCGTGTTTTGTCTAAAGTAACTCGCCGAGTGCTCTCGTAGTATTTCCAAACAATATGGCCTGTAACATGTGGCGCTACACGCAAAGTGTAAACAAGACGCTTTTCACAACCCATTTCCCCTCAACGTTCGCTAACAACACATCCTAAACCCATCAAAACTATGTTATACGATGTGACAAGCGATAATCACATGTTTGTTTGATTGCTTTATTAGGAAAATCCTCTCTGACAATACAGTTTGTGGAAGGACAGTTTGTTGACTCATATGATCCAACTATTGAAAACAGTAAGCTTCTAATGTTTATTATTTGGTTGTTTTGGAGTTCAAACTTAATCGACCTTTCTTTCCTTCAGCCTTTAATAAACTCGTCAATGTACATGGTCAAGACTTTAATCTTCAACTGGTTGACACGGCTGGACAAGTGAGTTAAATATTGTTTTGTTCTGAGATTGCTAGAGATGTTTTTTTAAATAATTTTTGTACTTCTGTCAATATGCAGGATGAATACTCAATTTTCCCACAGTCTCACTCAATGGACATTCATGGCTATGTCCTTGTTTATTCTGTGACTTCAATGAAAAGGTAAAAATCTTATAATAGGTTTATTTCTCTGTATCTAATTCAACATTTTTCAGTAAATACTATGTGTAAAAGAGGATTTTTGCTTTTTTTTTTTCCATAAAACCATGTACTGTTCTTGTTTAAATTCTATATTTTTCTCCAGTTTTGAGGTTGTTCAGTCACTACATGACAAGCTGCTAGACATGGTTGGAAAAATTCAGTAAGTTGCCACACACTTGAAGATTATTTCAGTGTTATGCATATTCTTACATTAACTCATCATATTTTAGAGTTCCAACCGTCCTTGTTGGGAACAAAAAAGACCTACACATGGAAAGGTAAGTGGTCATTCAACTCAAAATTCTCCTCCACTTTTCCTCTTCCGTTCTATCAGTATTTATCCTGTAGAAGTAAATTATTTAAGTGTGTTCATTTGTTGGATCTTAGAGTAATCAAACCTGAGGAGGGAAAGAAACTTGCTGATTCATGGGGAGCTGCTTTTATGGAATCATCGGCCAAGGAAAATGAGGTAAACTTTTTTTTTTTCTTTTTTGTTTTTCTTAATTCAGTAAGACCAGAAATCCACATACCATCTTTTTAATAATTTCAATACTACCCACACTCTACTCACTCCTTTGCTGTTGTCATTGATGCAGACTGCAGTGGAGGTTTTCAAACGGATTATTTTAGAGATGGAGAAGGCGGATGGAAACGCGCCCCCAGAGGAGAAGAAGTGCATCGTCATGTAAATGCCCAAATCCTCAGGTTCATTTCTGTTGGAGACAAGAGACACAACGTCACTGCAATATCTGACCTCACAGACCCCCAAATGCTGCAGAAAACTATGCTACATCCTCTCCGTTCTAAGAAATCCTTTAAATTGTCACAATTAAGTAAATAATTGTTTTGTAGTGAAACAAACCAAACGGGTTTAGAAAATGTTAGGTTAGGAATTTTGATTACCAGCCAAGCATTTGTCCACATGCCATACATATTAAAACAAAGCAAATGAATCTGAATTTTGACAGTGATATGGAGTCACATTGCATAAATGTGTTTATAAAATGTCACTGATATTACCAGCACATTTTTGATGCTGTATTTTGACAAACATAAAAAGTCCTATTCCCATAATTATTGTTTATTAAATGTAAAATGTTCTTAGTTGGTAGACAGCCTTAAAGGTATAGAATTAAATATTCCTTTATAGCAAATGGCTATGAGGAAAATATGGTGTTGTAGATGGTGCTACCTTGATGTGTGGTAATGGTGTGCTATTTTCTTATTACAGTGATATTCACTAGCCACTGTTTTATGTACACCTGTTCATATGACTTGTAAAATGTAAAGATGTGCGTTTGATGGTTGATAGTATTTTAGAATCTGTAGAGCCAGACAACCATCACAAGAGAAGGGTTTTGGAAAAACACAATTTCAGCTGCAGTTTTAATTGCAGTGTTAATTGCAATTTTCAGGTGTGTCTTTAAGATTCAGAATTATTTTCAAGATTCAGTTCACAGTGCAGATTTTAAACATACCCAGGACATATTTACTGCTGTGCTGAACAAAGTTTAGTTTTCTGCACTGGACAATGTTGGAATTACACTTTTAGTACTTTTAGTTGCAGTTAATCTTGCTACATTATTGTCACTCATTTCTTCTCCATTTTCAACTGTTATGTGATTTGTTCAATTGTTTACACAAGAGCATTGTAACAGGTATACCTATTATTGTGGCCAGTGAGATTTTGACCACCACATTGACGACTGTGGAGTGCCAATATACCACAGTTAATTTTATCCAAAAATTCGTTCACATAAACCAAACCAATTTAATCTGTAGATTTGTATTTTGTGGATTCGACATTTGGCTGTTAAAAGTATGGAAATCAATTGTTTTTTTCTTGGTTAGCTATAAGAGACGACTGGATTTGAATTCTGTTGTACCTCTAAAGGGTAAATTTTTTTTGCTTTGCTGATTTAATATTTGATTGGTGAATGATTACTGGTGGTTGAAACAGAGGCTGGTGGGTTGTGTCTTGTGCCTTACAGGTCCTTATAATTAGTTCCTTCACAATTTAAGGTGCCCTCAAAGTATTTTTATTTTTTTTTCCTTTCCTCTTCTGTTCATGACATTTGGTCTCATAGGATAGGTAGACATGTTTGTGCTTTTATCACAAACATTAAATCCTGTGTCGGTCAATGTTTATGCAGAAATCTTGCTGTAAACAGTTTTGTATATAAATAAAATTGTTACTCATTTTATGTGTTTGTCATATTTTTGTCCCTACTTATGCAGATATCTGCTGTCAACGTCTACATTTTAGAGTTCTATTCTGTACAGTATAGTCAATATATTGTAATAGAACAATAATTTGGAAGCTAAAGTGTTAAGCAAAAATAAGAAAGAAGGAAAAAGTAAAGACAGCAAATTCTAGTCTTTGTAACTAATAATAATTAGTCAAATGAGCCAGTTTCCATAGAGTAAAATCATATTAAGTCTAATCTAATCATTTGCTATTTTTAAATTTCAAAATCAAAAGCCTATTATTTTTTATGTTTGAATTAAACTTTCTATTTCAGCAGAAACATGGAAAAAAGGCGCAGGCACTTTTGATTGGATGGCTCGTAAACAGACCAATATATAAAACTTCCTGAATTTCACTGAAAACAAGTGATATAGCAACATAATAACTTAAATTAGATCGAAGAGCAAATCCTTTGTGTATAATACATTATTTTTGCTTTTTATTTGAGCTTTCAGTCACCTCGGTGCGGTAGACATATGTGCATTACGGTAGTGGCAGGCTCACCGGAGTCGCAGCTTTTCGTAGAAACCAGTGAACTCTGCGTCCTTTTCATGAGAAAGCATCTCATTCAGAAGACAAAACATGGCTACGGAGTGTGTAAGTAAAACGAGCTTATAGATGCATACTTTAGCTATTAACTAGATGGCAATTCAACCTCTAATCGTTCCTTAACCCACACATCGTTTATGGTTAATGATACATTTAGCATGCTAGCATTAAGCGGCTAACAAGCAAACATTCTGCTTTCTTTTTCAGTACATATGAGTTTTTGAGCTAAACTAAAGAAAACTTGACATGCAGTTTTACTGTATTAGAGGCGCTTTTTAGCATCAGGTCGAGACACTTGTGTAAGATGTACTCACAGATGGCTTTTCTTCTTGGCAGAAGTCTCTAACCTTACATTACCTTGTCACCTCGACTTAATGTCAACACTGGTACAAGCTAAAGCTAACTTTGTTTCAACTTTATCCTCCACACTTAAAACCTGTGACTAATATGTTTACAAGACATGGCCAAGTAAAGGTTACTATCACCACCTGTGGGTTAAAATAAGCAATGTAATATGAGCTGAAAACAATACAGTCTTATAAATTGTGAGTCTAATAATATTTGGCCAGGCAGGCACACATAATGTCAAACAGACCATGGCATGAAGTAAGAACACACTATACATTAACTTAGCAATGGCCAAAACATGCTGTGTTGTACAAACCTATTACTAACTAGTTATACACAAAGGTAGAGATGTTGAAATTGTAGTTAGTCATAATGGCAGTGACTAATGAAGGTACACTGTGTAATTGTAATTTTTCTGCTTGCCTCATAATGGTGTCCTTGCTTTGCCTGGGATGTTCCACAGTATGGCATTACACAAAGATATCATGTATTTATTCATTAACAGGTGTTTTTGTTTATCAAAACTGTCACAAAGACATGCATTCTTATTGTGAGTGGGCCTGCTTCTCCACAGATCTGACCTGTAACTTGGTCTGGTGATGTGGCCTGATAATTAATTAATTAAATGTCATACTGTAGAATATTCCAGGAAGAACAATAACATACATGGAGTCTAGCAGGTGGTGCACTTTTAAGTAGAATGAAAAGTAGTCGTCCAAAGAATGGATGAAGTTAGATATTTGTATAAAGTACTGAATAACTATTTCAGTTTCCAATGTCTATGTCACTGACAAAGGTGTTTCTTTTGTAGGGATTTCAAGATTAAAATTAATCAGGTACAGATAAAAAGTAAAGCTTGAAAAAAATATTATTTGATGTACAATAAAGGAAAGTATAAATTAAGCAAATAACCGTTCACTAATGTATTTTCTATGGACTAACTTATGGTCTAAAAGTAAATGCTTCCAACTATTTCTACTATGGCATATTTCAGATACCACCTACTTATGAAGATCTGGAGGGTAAAAAGGACCCAGTCATTGAAGGTGAGACCTGTGGTTGAACCTTGCTCAAATATCTCTGGACGTTTAAATCATTCTTCTTTTGTGTTTGTGTTTCAGACCCAGAACACAACGTCTACACTAGATTTATGAAGTCACACCATTGTTATGACCTCGTACCCACCAGCTCCAAGCTAGTTGTTTTTGATACTTCACTTCAGGTAAGAAGACAAAACAAGACAACACATAAAAGAAATTGTTCTTCAAGTTTAGCACATTATATAAACTCAAGTAGGATTATAAGGTCCAAATATGTCCTGGAAAGTGTACTGCTGTCATATGAGGATGTGCAATTTTAAGAATGTTTAATCTATCAGTGTCAGAAACTGGGTTAGAAAGTGACCATTTAATTAATAAAAAAGGAATTGGTCTAAGTCAAGCTAACATTTAAATTGTCCAAAACCAGGGTAACAATATATTAGGGAGATGCATTTAATAATAATCATTTAAGGTTTTTTGAATCAAAATGACTACAGCCAATTCTCAGTGAAATAAATGTATTTGGTTTGGAGCAGAGTTTAAACTTTGGAAGGAAGAAATGTGACTTAAATGACAATTATTATATATTTAAATCATGTTTTTTTTTCATATTGCCCAGCCCTGTATACAGCTCTCTATGTGTCTTCAAGAAAAGAAAAATCATCTTAAACAAGTAATTCAAAGAGATGTAGCAGACCAATGCAACATCAAATTGTAGGTTTTAGCCATTTTATAGTCTCATATTGTCTTTTGCAGCCATTGAAAACTCAATGTCTCAACTTTATTCAATGCTAGGAACACAGAATAAAATTGTACATCATTAATCTACACTATGCTGGTATGGTTGAAAGCTGTTTACTGTAACTGACAGTTCAACATTTTTCTTTCCAGGTCAAAAAAGCTTTCTTTGCACTGGTTTCAAATGGAGTCAGAGCGGCGCCTCTTTGGGACAGCAAGAAACAGTGCTTTGTTGGTGAGTGACTTTTTATTACCGTTTATATGAGTTTATATAATGGGAATTATTACTTTACTGCCTCACTGACCTGACTATGTCTCTATCACCAGGTATGCTTACGATCACAGACTTTATCAACATACTCCATCGATACTACAAGTCTCCATTGGTGAGAGCAGGCTACAGGAGGGAAAATTAGGGAAGAATATTATAATTATATAAGATGGTAGTATCTAAACTTAAAGGGCCTATATTATGCTATCTGATCTGTGTTATAATGTTGTTTCCTCATCACAAACATAGATGGAATTGTGCTTTGTTTCATTCTCACATGTTTAAAACAGAAACCCTGCATATTTAGGCTGAGTTCATCTCTCAAACCTAAAACACTGCGATGACACACCTTGTGATGTCATGTGTTAGTACAGGAAGTGTTCCACTGTGTTTGAAATTCCATACACTTTCACTAGAATCCTTTGGATAATTTTGGTCCTGGAACTGCCAATATCTACTGGACAAAAGATAGAAGGTAGCTGTTAACTTCAAAAGTACCAGCATTTTGAGGTTTGGAGATGTAGACACAATAATAAGGCAGGATTACTCAAACATGTATAAATGAAAGAAAACACAATTCCATGTATGGTTTTGAGGATGAAACAACATTGTAATATGACTAAAAGTTAACATAAGTCAATCTTGTAGAATATAGAAATTTTATATATACTTTTTTGTGTTTTTAGGTTCAAATTTATGAATTGGAAGAACATAAAATTGAAACATGGAGAGGTAGGGACTGCCTGTCTTTTTTATTATTATTATTATTATTGCACAAATCATTAAATTCTTCATCTTTATTTATTTACAGAGGTGTATCTCCAAGACTCTTTCAAGCCGTTGGTTAGCATATCTCCAAATGAAAGGTATGTTTTATGTGTTGTTAAAACGTATGCCTTTTATAGAGGAAATCAAATAAAGAACTGAACTTTGAAACTATAAGATTCTTTATTTCTGTAAATATTTTATTACACATAGCACATAATAATGTATTTGACATGTCTTTTTCAGTTTGTATGACGCAGTCTCATCTCTGCTGAAGAATAAGATCCACAGATTACCTGTGATCGACCCACTGACCGGAAACACACTTTATATTCTCACACACAAAAGGATCCTTAAGTTCCTCAAACTTTTTGTAAGTGTATTACAGTTAAAGGAGCTTCATGGCACTTTTTTGGTGGAGGGTATGCTACCTGTTTGTTTCCATGGAGATGTTATTGCTTTTCAACTTAGATTTATTGAATTGCACGTGTTTCCAATGCTCAAAAATCCCCTCGATAAACATGCATTTCTAATGGGAGCGGGGTAGCCTCCTTACAGATTTGATCTGTAACTTGACCTGGTGACATTATCAACTTGTTTCTTAGGTAATAAACTGGTTAATGCCATACTCTGGAGAAATATAGACAAAACAAAAACATCCCCATGGAGACAGGCATGTGATGAACCCCCCACCAGAAAATGTACATCTTTCATTTGAATTCAACACTGATTATATTGTCTATCCATTATTTCTAAACCATCTGTTCTCTTGTGTTTTTGTGTAGATAGCAGAGATGCCCAAGCCATCATTTTTAGGAAAAACCTTAGAGGAGTTAAACATTGGGACATTTCATAAAATTGCAGTGGTGCGTTCGGACACCCCACTGTACACGGCACTCGGGATCTTTGTGGAGCAGCGAGTCTCAGCTCTCCCTGTTGTCGATGAGAAAGGTACGAGGATTATAAAGGATATGTTGGAATTTGTATTGCAATATTCAACTGATGATCTTGTGTTGTCTTCAATTTGCAGGTCGAGTGGTGGATATTTACTCAAAGTTTGATGTTATAGTAAGTCACAATCAACCATAATTCACTTCAGTTCAATATTTTTAGATGATAAGTGATAACATGACAGCAACATAAAGATCCTGTAACTGAGACTAACAAAAAGTGTGTCCAGTCAGTGTAATGTTTCATTTATGATTTCAATACTTCATATCGTACTGTATAAACTAGTTGCAATTATGGACCTAAGTGTAAACAAGGATCAAAGCTCGTTTAATTTAGGCAATACCCACTATTATGATAAATAGCCACTTCTACGATAAATATTTACTGAGGGCATTGTATATCTAAACAAAATAATAATATTACACACAAAAACCCTGCCATATGCACTTTAATAATGTATGAAAATTCTGTGTTCTCTGTGTGCAGAATCTGGCTGCAGAGAAGACGTATAATAACCTGGACATCACAGTGACCAAAGCACTGCAGCACCGGTCACAGTATTTCGAGGGAGTTCTGACATGTAACAGACATGAGACTCTGGAGGCCATCATTAACAGACTAGTGGAGGCAGAGGTGAGATGTACCATCATTTACATCATATTGTAAACATGTATTTTATATTTCTGTTTTTAGTGTATATAAAAACACTGGTAGTCTCTCAGACATAAAATTTGTCACAAGTAATATATTTTATACAGTTCTCTTACTTAAAAGTGTTGCTTTTCCCACTGAGTACATCTATACAAGTGACACAAGCTTTGAACTTTTGTGTTTTTTTGCCTTGTTCTTTTGCAGATATGATTTAGGTTTTCCTTTTTTTGTGGTCTACCCTGTGAAATACATTTACAGCCAGACAGTTACTCTTACATGAGTTGTAGTTTCCCTAAACATTTAATTCTTTCTTGAGTAATTTTCTTGCACCACAGCTTTGTACTTAAACTTGGGTAATATTGTTTTGAAGTAGCTGTACTCTTACTTGAGTCCTCCTCTTTACCTTTTCAACTCTATTAAAGGGTAATTTGATATGATAATACAATATGTGATGATCATCTGTATGGTGATTCAATTGCTGCCTTTACATGCATACTCAATTTGATATTAGCAGATTTTTTTTTGTTATAAGACTATTATGACATGAGAATAGTCAAATCAACTGGTTTCTTTCTGATCATGGTCCCTCTGAACTCACATCAGATATTGTGGTTTACATGCCATTTAAATCATCTTAAAGCTCTAGAAATCAGATAATCAGATTTTGTAAAGTGCTTTTCTGTCACAAACAGATGCCGTCTATTTTTCCTCACCCCTCCTATTGGAGATAGTCTACTACTTCTACTACTGTACTGAATTGTGATACTTTGAAATCATAACCTAGAATATTATTTGTAATTAGGGTTTGGAATCACACGGTCTCTCACGATGCGATTTGATGTAATGCATGACACAATAAGGTCACAGTCACCACATTTAGTATTAAGATATATCGATATTTCAGTATCTGTGATAACAGTATTACCCCCTCTGACAGGTGCACAGGTTGGTGGTGGTGGATGAACAGGAGGTGGTGAAGGGGATCGTGTCTCTGTCAGACATCCTCCAGGCGCTAGTGCTCACAAACAAAGATCAAGGTGAGATAAATATATTTGTTATTATATTGTTTTCATTGACAAAAACATTCACAAAATATTACCAAACAGTGTATTGTGTGTACCTGTTTGCAACTCTGAATGAATGGATCCACTAACTCAAATTATAAAGCTAAAATCAATTCACAGACAATAGTATTGCTAGGACCTTCTTGGCTAATCGAAGGATTAATCACCAATTAATTAAAAAGCATATCAAAGTGAACAAATATCTTATATGATAATCAATTTTTTTATGTTTTAACGAGAGAGAGATGTAGTGCTTTTAGTTAGCTTCACACCTCCAGGAAATGTTGATGACATCAACTGCAAAGTATCAGTACAATTCAATAGGGATTATGCTAACATTAAGTGTTTTTTTTTTTTTGTTTTTTTTTTTTTTATTCACAGAAAATGCATGAGGCTGAACGAAGACACTACTACTCTTTTCTTAAGGACGGAAAGGGAACTGACAAGATGTTAATAGGGTTTTTATACATTTTAATATAGTAAAAAAAAAAATACAATAATTTAACAGACTGTGGATTGTATTTTAGAGTTACGATTTCAGGGGTGTGAACTATATGTAGCCATTCAAACGTTTTTTTTCCCCTTCATTTGTGTATGCCTAAAATATGTGATCAATACCATATCTGATAAAGGGGTCACAGATTTTTTTTGCTGTTTAACGGTCTGATTGCAGATTTGTTGACCTGGTTTATGTTCTATATCTCTGTAATTACTGGGCCTATCCTCATGAAACAAAAACTGGTACAAAGTTCATCTTCTTCTCTGTTATCATAAATAAACTTTAGGTGAGATTATTTTTTCACAGTAACCTCAGAAAGTGGTGCCATTATTCAACTCTAAAGACGTGATTGTTGTCAGCTGGCAAGTTTGTGGAGCCATTCTCTTACAAATAATGATAAGGTTCAACATATGTCGACCATACGTTTGGACATTTCTTTAAAAAAAAAACCTTAAATCTCCCATAGTTATTTATATAGGACCTTGCCTTCCATCTGAAAATGACATTCAAATCTAATGTGAATGCAACCTATTCATAATTCTTAATAACAGATGGGTACAAGGACTATACTCTTTTTAGGGTTTTATAATGATGAATAGAAAATATTATACAAGTGACTCAAATACTGGCTTTGAGGGTTACATCAGCACATTTTCTCTCTTAAAACAAGCAACAGACTTAGATAAACTTTATTAATCCACAATGGAAATTACATCGACACAATATTAGATGGATAGATTCAGTACAAACTGTGAAACATTGGGAATAATGCAATATCAAATTCTTACTAACATTGGATTTTTATAGTAATAACATTATATGTACAAATAAATGACTGAAATGTTTCACCGTACCGTATTTTGTACAATATTTGCATTTAAAATTCTTTTTTTTTTTTTTTGTCTCTGAAATATTTGTATTGTTAGAAACTTTGCACGTTACATTGAGGAGAAAGTTAGTAGTTTAAAGGTCCTATGTTACAGAAAATTGAGTTGGAGTTGTAGGAGTTGTTTTGTTTCATTCACATGTTTTCCAAAGCTCATTACATTTTGTGATGTCATGAAGTGGGATTTTTCCTTTTAGGAAGCTTTTAACATAAACATTGTTGGTTGAGTATCCACTGATCCACAAGTTGGCAGCGCGATTCCAGCTCCCACCGATAAATGCTGTCCTTGGGCAAGATACTTAACTCACCTCTTCCTAGTGTCCGTGTAACTTGTGTGTGAATGTGCGGGTGGTTTCTTGATGTAAAGCGCTTTGAATGCCTCGAAGGTGGAAAAGCATTATATAAAAATGTGACCATTTACCATTTACCAGTAGAGATAGACAATTCCAAGGCTAAAATTATCCAAATGATTCTAATGACGGTGTATGGAGTTTAAAAACACAGTTGAGCATTTTCTGTATCACTACATGACATCACAAGGTGGAACACAGTATTTTCTGGTTGAGAAAAGAACTCTTAACTAAATATGCAGGGTTTGTGTGTTAAACGTGTAAATGAAGCAAAACACAATTCCAGGTATGTTTTGATGAGGAAACATTATATCAGAAAATGGCGTAATATGGGCCCTTTAAGATCAGTCCAGTCACTCTTCTCATCCCATGGGACCTGTTTTATGAAAATTTAAACCACCTCAAAAATCAACAAAAAAGTACAATCTTAGTTCTTACAATTTTTGTTAATTATAACCTCATTTCTACCAGCACTGATCATCTCCATACACTTAAACCTATATTTTTGTTTTGTTTGTTTAGTTTTTTCCCTTGTTACAGTATTGTACAATTTAATTTATAACTTAGTTTTCACCAAAGACACAACCACATTGTTAGTAATTTTGTTAAAGGAAATATTCAGTGTGAGCATGACGTTTACTTTAAAATTTTATTCCTACCAACATTTGTAAGTCTTTTGTTCTGAGAAATGTGTTTTGTTTTTAGTTTGTTTTAAAAATTGTAATCCAGCGTGAAACCATGTGAATGTTTTGTACTAATGACATTGTAATTCAAGCAATGAGCAATAAAAGGTTCTGAAAAGATTTGAAAATGTAAATGTATTTGTACTGCTGACGAGGGATCTGTTTTAATTTCTGTCAATGTGTCCTTGGGCAAGACACCTCATTCTCCTTTCTTCTGGTGAGTGATTAGCGGTGGTTGAAGTGGCCGTGGGAGCAGATTTGCAGCCATGTTTTTTTGTAATTTTGCTCCAGGGCTGATATGGTTCCTAATATCTTACCGGTCATACCAGTCATAATGGTACAACTATAAATAATTGATTTTAGAATTAATAATCAAAGAAGTGGGTCATTTGAGCAGTATTTCTTAAAATGTTTCTGAGCAGAAAATCAGGCTTTTCGTAATGCTTTTTCGAATAGCTATTCATAGACCTTGAAAATTAACTTAATAGCGTGTATACACAATTATTCTAGTATGTTTTGCAAAAATCTGCTCCTCTGTACATGTTATGGGTCCTAAAAACAGACCAACAGATGACTAAAATAGCTTGAATGTGCATAATTAAAATACATAGACAACATTTAGGAAAACAACAATATTTTATTATAGATTTACATGAAGACCTGAATTCACCTTTACATGTTTAGAGTTTGACAGTCTCAAAAACCTGCAGATTCAATACATTCTCGTGACCCGACACCCTTTTTACACAGTGACATAAACCCATTCAAAATCCATTATTACATTTAGTAGTGCTAAATAAATTACCAGTGATATTACAGTGACATTAACTTTGTAAAGAGTTGCAGTTTTGTTTTTCCAGTGGTTAAAAATACCTACTGATCATTTCCAGTTACTAAATGTCTACATTTCAGTAGTTTTAAGTAGTTGATAGTTTTTTGTTTTTTTTTTTTTTAAAGTAGATGTGTTTTGTGGGAAGAATATTTGGTTTGGTGCTGTGAGGTCAGCGGTAGTAGTGCACAATGCATACATGTTTTTCAAAATAAAAGTGGAAACAAAAATATAACCTAGAGTAACTTTTAAAGTGCTCAAATTTCCTGAAAATTTAAAAGGAGACACACATGCAGCACATTTGATATAGTGGAGGTACAGTGTATTATATATTTTAGATGAGATATTAAGTAGTATTAATTTACAACAGGAATATGTTAACAGATAAGTAAAGGAGTGTGTAAAATGCTCTATTCCTCTATTTAAACAAATCAAAAATATGTAAAAAATAATTGTTTAAATGTCAGCACATAAAATTCTCAAGAAAAGTTAGACTAAAAATCATTGAGTTTTTTTTTTTTTTTTTTTAACTAATACATTGAAAACATTAGGACAATATAAAATAAAATGTCAATTCTGAGAGTAATTCCTCCATATGATTACACAGTGGCGGGAGTTACATACATACTCAAAATGTGATAATTATCAGATTTCTGGAGTTATAAGACTATTAAAATAAACTGCAAAATCAAATAAATACTGTCTAATCATGGTCCCTATGATTTCTCACATCAGATATTGTGGTTCACATTTAACTGAACTAATCTTAAAAGTCCAGAAATCTAATAATAATCAGATTTTGTGTGCACGTTAAGTAAGCCAGTGATAGAGGAAATTATGAGTGCCTATTATGGTATATTAATATTTATGTTTCAATTTTCAATTTTTTTGTACATCTATTAAAAAATTATTGTATTGCCAAATTGAGTTTTTAAAAGGATATCTTCTTTTTATTTTATGTCGCAGGGAGTTGCTGCTAATTATTGCAGTGTCACATGCCCCAGCCATTTTCTACTGAGACATATAAAATCAGTCTGAAGTTGTTGGTACCTCATTATCTTAATGGTTGGAGCAATGTCCAACTTCTCACACCCTTCACCTCTCGCTATTCAAATCAATTACTACACTATTACAATCTTAGGTGAGATGCATACCATAGTTTTTTCTGTTGGATTCATGCTTTATTGAAGATGAAAGAAGGTCCTGAGGTTTGTTACAGCTTATGGGGCAGTGGTACTAATTCTATGTTTGGTGGATTAATTTGGGTAAATAAGTTAAGTTTTGTCAAATGAACTAAAGATGCAGTAACGTGTTAATCAGTGGGGGCGCACTATCCAAATTTTCAGCCCGAGTGTCAATGGTTGAATGTTTACTTCTCATTCATTTTACCCATAGACCTAAACGATTCTAATTTAAAAAGTTTAAAAAGGCACAGCGAAGGTTAACAACCTTTGTTACCAATGACGATAATGTAGTAATTTGAAATCAAAAGTGCATATTTTAACTTTTTGTGAGGTTTAAGTTAAAGTTATACGTGTTGTATAGTTATGGTAATTACCCTACAGCCTCCATCAAATACTTAAAGCTTTTATTATTTTGGGAAGTGTCTAGGGAAAATGAATGAGAATTTCACTTCCAGAACTACTGCCCAAATTATTTAACTCCTAAAGAAAGACTTTTATGAATCCAACTTCCATTAAATCAGGAATAAAACCTTATAACGAAACTGTATACAAGAAAGTATATTAAATTCAGTTCATTTGACAAGAAAGATATAGAAAAACCCATTACCATTCCGAGGGACCATGCGTGTACTTTTTCTTAATTAATTTCTGTTTGTCCACCTTCTGATAAAGGGAACTATCAATCTTATGGACATATAAAACATTAACAGAAATCTGTAACCCATTTACCTTCAGTCAAATGAACCTGAATGAATCTGGACCAGTTTGCTTCAGCTTTCACATGGGAATTGTCAAGACCCAACAAAAAGTCCCATCTGCTGTCTCTCAGACCATCCCCAGAAACACCAGCTATACCTGTTCTTATATTTACCCCAAATAATTCAGGTGGAATTTGAAATCTGATTTTCCTCTGTGTAGAGCTTGTTCTCACTTAAAATGAGAGTAGATCAGACAGAACATCAGTTTCACAAAGAGCGCAGACATTAGTTTGGGCTCTAAAGCGGTCAGAAACAGATGGACTTTGAATTGACATTAATTTTAGTCAAACGTTTTAGGAAGAATCGTACGGAATGGCAAGAGGTTGTTTTAGTGGCAAGATTATAGTAATCTAAAATCTCCTTTATATAGTCTATATTTCCTCCTCTGTCTCCAATGCTTTCCACAGTTGAATGTGATCATTTTAATATTTCATAACATAGTGGTTCATTGCCTTTTTAGGATGTCTTCGTAGCCCCTCTGTGGTAAACGCATGGCACAAAGTAAAGAACTACACTACACCCATAATATTTATATATCCACAACAAGATCAAACCGTTTAAATATCAAAATAAGTTAAAAACATCCCAACAAAACTAACTACCAAAAACTACCATTACAAAGACAAAACTCTGTGTAGGAACAATACAGTGACTGAAGACTATATAAGGGTATTTCAGGAAGTAGGCTCAGAGAACGCTTAAAATACAAATTATTAAAGAATTGTGAAATATCAAACTCCAGCTACACGTAGTCAAAAATAAGCTAAAAATCAGTTATTTTTACAGTTCAGTTCACACCCTTCTTTCTAATGAATTACCAGAGTCATAGGGATAATTTCAGATATATGCCATCCATACATTTTCTTATATCTTCTAGAAATCCACCCACTGAAATTGTGATTTAAAAAAAAAAAAAAATTAAGCAATTCAACCATTCATTATTCATAATTCATTCATTATATTGCGCTTTTAAAACACCAGAAATATAGAAATAACTGGCATCTTAAAATACACTAAGCATTGATCTAAGCTTGTCTTCAAATTTGTATGCATTTACAGTTTAGTATGACTAACTGAGCCTGGTTTAAGTTAGGATAAATAAAGATACTCCAGATTTAAATACAATTTGAACTTGACTTGGCCTAACTTCATGAAATACCCGATTATTAGGTTAATCACATATCCTGCTATTGATTGCATACAAGTACAAAAAGGTATATTTTCAGTAGTGTAAAAACAGAAGATTCGGTTCAGGTTTTGGGCAGGAGTAGCTGAGGACAAAAAGGTGCTTGTTTGGCTGGGTAAGCGAGGTAGGGTTCATCGGAAACCATCAAAAGTGGCAGGAGTGGTTTAAATAATAATTAAAATATTTTACAGTTTTTAGCACCAGTCAAAAGTTTGGACACTTTTCTTCCGATTAGTAGTTTTCCGGTTGTGGCTCAGATCCTATTTGGTACAAGTTGTGTTCACGTGGCATTACAATAATCTAAAATCCCTAGAGTTTACAATTGAGCAGGTCTGAAAACTATGGTGAAATTTGCTGTTTAAAAAAGGCAACGACATCAGGCCATGTTACACGTCAGATCTGTGGAGAGGTAACCCCGCTCATAGTAAGAATGCATATTTTAAAAGGCATTTTGATAGCACTTTAAACCACGTATTATTTGATAATTAAATTGTAATTTGCTAGTCATTAATCAGGTATTAGGTACTGCACTTCTTAATGTATAGTAGTTAAGATAACACCAAATTGTAAAAATCCATTTGTAAAAAAAATAAATAAATAAACAGAATAAATATTACTAGAAAAAAAGACCTCTAACCAATTTTGCTTTTCATGTCTTGCTCCAGTACAGATATATTGTATAAGCAGCTCTTGACATCGATATATGTCTGCTGTGTTTTGATTGCATCTAATTATAGTGTGTGTGTGTGTGTTTAATTATTTAACAATCAGGAAGTGTGTGTTTGCATGCTAGCTGTTGTTAGCTTTACTGTAACAGCAAAACTCTCCTCTGAAAGTTGTCCTTGGCCATTTAGAGAACCTAATACATTGACTATGGGTGAGTTCACACTTGCATTACCACATAAAAGTTTTTACTAAACTATTATACCTGGATCTAAAATTGGACTAGACCAGGACTAAATCAGGACTAAATCAGGACTAAATTAGGACTAAATCAGGACTAAATCAGAACTGGAACGGGACCAAGACCAATCTATCTAGGATTCAAACTGGTCTCAAATCAAGACTTAACTAAAAGGAGAAGTATGAACACACCCTTTGAAATCTGAATCATTTTCCTATGTAAAACAAATAGGGAGTTGTGTCCAAACTCTGACTGGTTC